CAGTTAGTTATGAAGTGTGAGATTAGGGTATACTGTGGGGTAGGGGTGGTAGTACTTGCCACGTCATTTTTGACGGGCTGTACACTAGTTGTTTGATAATATAAGCAAACCTTCAGGCGAATGATTCTTATTGTTTGACTAATACTACTATCGTTTTGAAAGAAAGTTATAGTCTCCATCAATTACCAACAGGCAGTATGAGACTAACATCTTTTCACTGTTTTCCTAAAATTTTAAAGTAAATAAAATTTTCTCTATGCCTGTTAATGGTAGCTAATTTTAATATGGCTCACCACTCATTAAAATAATTTTTGAACATTTAGTATGAAGGGTTCAATCTTTTTTTCTCATAATAGTTACTTCCAATTTCTGGCTCTATGATGAATTTGGTTGGGAATCACACTTATAAACCACAACCATTGATATAGTTATTTTAGGATCCAAGAAACTCTTTTATTTTCTTTGAAATTTGTGTTTCATTGGCAGATCATAAATTTCGTGTGGACATTAAATTGGATTTATAGTCTTGATTAAGGCGATCTTGTAGAAATTCACAAAATTTATATTTAGTTGTTCTTTGGTAATTGTGAACCACTAAAAAAAGGCAAGTAAATTCATTAGAATTTAGAAGAAAACATTATCTCCCATTACAACTGCGCTTCGAACACTTGAGCCTTTACTCTTTTTTAAAAACAACAACAAAAGTTGATTTAACTTGCTTGCCACATTCGTCAAGATGTTTCATCATTCTTGAATTCTTCATCTGGTAGTGTTCGTTTCTTCTGGGATCTGTTTCTCCATCCTACTAACCTGAAGATTGATTCTTTAGAAGATAAACTTTGACCCCTTGATATCTTGGTCACTGAAGTATTATTTGTATGTGAGAAAAATTAATCACAAAAATGTGGAATCGCAACGACCTCTTAATATATTCTGTACTCAAACTTTAAAATTTCTGAATTTTATACCCAGTTTTTAATTCGAAAACCGTTTAATACACTATAGTTTAACTATAGCCACTGCAGTTGTAAAACTGACTAGCTGATAATTCAGACATCCTAATATTAATTTTACAGCTTAACGTCTGTGTGCTAGATATAAAAGCTTAATGTTATAACCATTTATCTTTCACTGTATTAGATTAAATAAGTACTTGGTCTAGTATTATATGTTGCATTATATTTAGATAAAATATGACCCTTTTTTGTGAGAATGTATCAATCATTGAGTCATCTGTCACCAATAAATGTTTTTCGGATCTCCGTGTTCAGAAGCTTGTGAAAGATCTAACGAAATGTAATTGGTTTGAAGGAACTTGTTCTGATATAATTTCCAATAAAACAAAGTAAGTTGAGTCATGTAAACACTTGTATTTGAAGTTAGCAGATATAAGACTGTTAAACATTTCGAACAGTTACTGTTAAATGAAGATTCGTTTAGTTTAAGTCAGCTGCAGTTCTTTTAATTGGCTGCAACAGAGTGCTTTTGCAATGCAAGCTTACTGTATGTAACTGCATGAGTATAGCACCTAGCATCAAATGTGTGTACATCAGCAATGTGTACTTTTATTCAAAATATAAACAAAAAAATCGGTTCTGTAAAACGTATTTACAAACTAGATCTGAATGTTTTATTTCAATTATACGGATTACATGTAAAATAAAGGGTTTTTAATCAAATATAAACTAGTAGTTATAGTAACGTCATCAGTAGCGTGTTCCGAACCTTATAAACTAGTAGTTATAGTAACGTCATCAGTAGCGTGTTCCGAACCTTCGAAGGTCAAAATCTACCTTTCTTTGCAACCATAATGGTATTTGAAGTTAGCAAATGTTGTATCTGAAATCAATATATTTAATTTCTAAAGGTAACAGCTCTGATATTTTAAGTTAGCTGATATAATTTTATGAAGTTAGCAAGTCAAATTTGTAAAGCTAGAGATAAATTTTAGGTTTAAAGCTGTCTTTTCTGAATTATCTGTTTAAAAGAATCATTATAAACTATATGAAACTTGTAATACTTGCTTCTTTTCAGAACTGTGTAAGCCGAATATAGGGATGATACGGCCCAGTGCATGTCCAGATGTCCATGACTTAATTCATCTCCCAGGACCACTGACTGAAGACGCTGTATTACGAACTCTCCACACCAGGTTCTTCAACAGAGAATATTTTGTATGTTTTATTTTAAAACTTATTTCTAGATCATAATTTCTGCTCTATAAAAATATTTTTGTCACTAACATTAGGTCGTCTGCTATAAGTCGGTACAGTCATGCGCTATAAAAATAATACAAGGAGGAATAATTTATTGTAATATATATTATTTATCTAATTCATTGAGTCAAGTTTCCCTTTTTATCAAAGGGAAAGAGTCTGAGCGCTATGCCCACATCCGTGTTTTATGTGAGTAAGTAGGGGCTACATGCAATTCTACTTATAGAACTTAAGAATCAACTTCAGTTTTGTTTACGTGGCACACAAAACTTTGCTATCACTGTTTCTGTTGTCTGAGATTAAGCGTAGTTGATATTAAGCTTAGAATCCTTGTCCTTATGATATTAAAGCAAATATACAATTATTGTCTACATGATTTCAAAATAAGCGTATAAAGTGTGCCTCTGTTGTTTCGTAGTAAGCATATGTATGCTAATAAGCTGACTTTTCTTGTTTACATGGTTTTACAGCAAGCTCAGAGTAACTGTTTATGTTATTTAACATAAATCTGCAGTTCATGACTATATGGTCTGGCAATAAACTTAACATACACATAATATTCTTGGTATATAGATATGACAGTAAGCTTACAATCCTTGTTTATGTTCAAGGTAAGTATTATAAAATGTGTAAGTGTGGGTGGAGGAGAGAGGGAATCGCATTTCACTTTGCATTAGGGGAGGGGTGAATCTTACGTAAATATTGTTTATTGTTTTTCCACTAGAGAAATGATACGATCATTGTAACTTGCCTTAAAATGAACAAAAAATTGTAATCTTACAAAAAATATCTAGATAGATGTATATAAAAAGGCATGTATAAGATAAACAGAAACTACTGTACAAAATAGTAACACCAAAGAAATGAATACGATGTTCACCTTTGTTTTTTATTTACTGTGGACAAGGATAGGCAGTGAAAGACCTGATGTTGAGTTTGTATGATCTGGCACTTGAATTCGTTAAACACTTGACTGAGGAGCAACTTGGTGACTGAAGTATACTGTAGTTATGATCAAGTAATGTCGACATTTTGACCTAGTTGAGAATCAAGATATACATTGGACTGAATTCAAAGTTTGAAAGAAGGGAAGGGTCACACAGAGAACTTGGTCATTTATGTGTACAATCTGTACCGTCTACATGGGAAGGCATATCCTGCTATGGAGTTACAAGATCGTGAGGATATGATCTTAGACAAATTTAATGAGGGACTACCAAGCAAAATTATGTGACATCACCAAGTGAGAGAGTAATCTTACCTTCAACGAGGCAGTATTTGTGGCATTTAGGTTTGAGTTTGTAATTTCGATCCAATCAAGCGAGGGGAACAAGCCCGCAATGATAGCTATAGTAGCTGTACCTCCTGAATTGCCTGCCTCATGCCAAACTAATGTTCTTCTTAGGCTAGATAAGCCATTGACACATCCAGTGCTGCAATGAAACCTCGCTGGATAGCATTCAGTGAACGGGACTTTCCAGACTCTTCCACGATATTTATGCCAGAGCAGATGTCAATGATGCCTCCTTCTATACATCACTCAGGAAGGGAGGACCAATGCATTTCTTTGGTTATGGGCTGATGGACCACCAGAATGAACTACCAATAACTTGCTTCACAGCAAGATAAGCAAAACTCATTCTGAACAACTGCTCATAGGATGCTGAAAGGTCACTGGCAAATCATAGATGCTGGCACTCCTTTTCTAGAAAATTAAAAGAGACCCAGTTGGTTATAGCTACTGACGTGAAGAGAGCTACATTCAGCTTGCCTCCAAAGGATTGGTAGTCAGACTAGCTCTTCTAGGGCTTGGAATACAGTGATAAAGATACATAGACAAGAGGTGATGTTTCTGGTTGATGTAATAGCTGCTATAACACTGACTGACCTCATTGGGCATTCCAAGTGGCTAGTTGATATTGACTTCATTCTGATAAATGGAAAGACTCATCTTCAAATACATCTAGGTAATGTTGCCCATAGGACAAAAGTAGTTGTTTCTGATTCTGGCTTTGTTATTGGGATCTTAGGGGTGGATCTGTTAGTGAAATTTCAGACAGAATTCCCATCCAATGCCAGCCAGAGTAGGACAAAGAACAGTGGATTCCATGAGTGTATGCTGAAAAGGTAGACACAGTACCTTCAAAAAAGTGGCGTTGTCTGATGTACTGTGGACAAAGTCTTGCATATTACCACCATGCAACATCATGATGGAAATGATGCATGAAATGTACGTTTTTTTTTGTTGTTGTTCAGAAAACATGCAGCATTATCTCAAACACTGACTAGACCAAAAGTTAAAACATCCCTGTGTGTCTCTGTAATCTGAACATTCAGCTATTCAGCTTCTCAATAGAATGATTATAGGCATGGTAAGCAAAGCAGTGATAATTCGG